TATCTCAGCAATGTAGACAATCTAACATTTTATTTTTTTAATATATTTTTTTGTTTCCTATTTTCTCTTAGCTCGTTATTTATATTCCTAATTTTTATTTTTTTTTAATTTATGGTTTTTCCCCTCTTTATTTTCCCCCCACACCCCCACTTCTACCCCTGACCTATGGATGTTGCCCTTTCCCCTTAAAAGCTAGATCTCTGAATGCGGGGCGTCTCCTCTCACAGGCTAGCGGGGTGCATCCAGGGTATCGTCCGTGGCTCCACCTGGGGTGCGAACCCAGGACCTTCTGCGTGTAAAGCAGAAGTGCTAACCAGTACACTATGGAGCCATCCCCACTGTTTCACTCTTAATTCATTTTTGTTTTCAGGCTGCAGTTTCTACTGGGAAGAGTTCTGAGTGTCAGGAAAAGCATATGGATTGTGTGTGTGACTTTGGGCTCTTTGGGTGAGTGTTCTCAGCAGTATGAGGCTGACAGAATTGAAAATAATGTACACAACATGCTAGCACACAGTAGACACTTGTTTATTGTGTCTTATTCTAAAACAAACTTTTTTCAAACCCCTAATTCTAATATGCAAAATGAGGGGTAATACAATGCTTCACAGCTGAGCCCATAAACACCCATTTAACTAGCATTTTACAAAGCACTTCATATACACTCTCACTTGGACCTCAAAACTCTGGTATTAGCCAATTTGGAGAATGAACTTGCTCAAAGTTACCAAATAGGTGAATAGAGGGCTGTGGGCCCAAGTGCTCTATTATATCATGCTGACCATCTCCTTTTCACTCTGGGGAAATACTTTGCTGAACTGCTAGAGGAAATTGAGATGCATCATCTGGCTCCCAAGTATGAAAACACCTCAATCTCCTCCTTTTTTACTTACTGTCAATAAGCTCATTTTTTTTTTTTTTTTTTGGTCCTAAGGTATAGAGTTGACTCTTGCTAGTATATACTTTCGACGCATGACAAAATCCCTTCTGACCTTAGGGCAAAAGGCCAATGCACTGATTAAGTTATTCCCTGTGCCCGTCTCTGTGGAACCATGGTTCCACCAAGGAAGAGGCCAGGCCAGCCAGACTCTTACACTTAATTGATTTCGGTGACTCATTTTCCTTTGATTCACTAATTTAACAATATTTGGGTACCCACTATATACCATCATGCCTTAGACATAAGGGGAATTAACACTATAAGCCTCCAGGAAAACGGGCAAAGGAGCCCAATGATGGACCCAGGAGGGAATATTCAGGGGACTTGCCAAGAGTAAACTGTGTGTGTTCATTCAGGTGCTCAGGGCAAGGCAGTCTTAGATCCTTTCAGGAACTAAATATTAGGTACAGAGTGGGCACTTTAAGAACACAGCTGAAACAGGAGGCAGCAACTGAATAATTCATTCAATTTCACCTCTCACCTCACAGTAATACAGGTCTCTGAAACTTGGAGGGGAAAAAAACAGGTAATAGAACCTATGAACGGTAGGTACATTTGAAAGTCAGAAAACTGCGGGAGCATAATGTAAACTTGGCAGTCGACTCCTAAGAAATTATGAAATTTTCAGTTTTTTGAGGTTTGGAGCTTGCTTCATTAAAAAAAATTATGCACTTTAAATAAATTGAGTCCATCTCCTTAAGATGAATGCAGTTAGCATGAGTCTTTCAGGATGAGGAAATTACAATGCCTATGTTGAAGAAAAACTTTTGCAGGGAAACTGCCTGCATTAATAAAATGGTTGTCATCTCTGACCAATTAGATATTCTAGGGGAACAGTGACATGTAGTGCTGGCCTGGTCACAGGGGACACATTTTACTTATTTTTTTTAATCCCTCCCCCCGCCCCCACTTCCACCCCTGACCTACAGATGTTGTGGTCTACCACTTAAGACCTGATCTCTGAAGGCGGGGCGTCTCCTCCCACATGCTCTTGGCACACACTCAGGGCCTGACGCACCAGGAGTATGAACCATGGCTCCACTGGGGCTTGAACCCAGGACCTTTTGCATGTAAAGCAGACATGCTAACCACTACTCTATGGAACCACCCCCCATTTTACTTATTTTAAAGTTTCCTGTTACTACTCAGTTTGTTGAACATTGACTCCAAAGGCCTGTAGTACGTGGAACCCTTTTAATGAGCAGCATATTTGCTAGTGAGCTCCTCTTTACATAACTGTTTCTCTACAAAAGTTCCTCAGGGAGTTCTACCAGATGCTCTGGGTGGATGCTAATACCAGAGACTATAAACTAGATAAACTTAAAGACACGATGATTGTGTTCTGCAAAATGCATATGTTCAGCATGCATATACAGTATTTAATTTACGACCTTACATTTATCAGACATCATTTTGGAAGAAAATCACTTTATTCTAATCGATTCACAAATAACATCACAAAACCTGGTTTAAGGAGCCCACAAAACCATCTGCCCAACCCCAAACTCAATACCATCTCAATGAACTATACAGTATGAACACTCTCTTCCACTGCAATTCTGAGGCAAGGAAGCTATTAATAATAGAGAGGTTTAACTGGTGGTTTTACACTTTATACTTTCACTATCCATTATATTTTTATACTAAATTAACTTGGTCGTGAGAGATGATTTTCCATGTCTTCAATTTGAACTTCTTGATTAGGCTAATCCTGCAAACAAAAAAGGTACATTAATAGAGCACTTGCTGTATAATCTTAACAAGAGAGAAAACTTACCAGCTATGAAAAGAGGGGAAAAAAGCCCAGAGTTATTAGTTTCTTTCATAAATTATTGAAGGCATTCTGCGATCAACAAAACTTCAGCTCCAAACCTGCCACAACTGAGAAAAGGCAGGACACATGTGCTTCTAGGGACAGAGTCCTAAAGCAGAAACACAGCCACTTTGGTACTAGATGTAGCTTCATCAAAGAATTCTGAAACTCAGACTTCCCTTTCACAGTTCAACCACCTGAAAGGATTAACTTCTCCCCTATGTCCTACCAAAATGAAGGTGGGAAAATGAAAATAAGCATTTTAATAGATCGTGAATTCTTAGGTTGACAGAAATTATGTTAAAACAAGTTAACATTCCAGAGCACCTAAATCTTGTCTCTCCTAAATGAGGCACGTAGAATACCAATAACATACCAGAATCTATGTGAATTCCTGGACTTTGCTGAAAACAGAATTTTATATTCATTGCTTTAAGATCACAAATGTGCAGTTAACCACACAAAAATCTGGCGCACTAATCTGTACCTGCTTAAGGAAGAATTAGATTCAGAACATAACTGGTAAAAGATTAAGATACCTCTGGACCAGCTCCTTGTTAGAAGTTAGATTATTAAATCTCCTCTAACTTTCAGTTGAATTTATTAAATACAGACTCCGTAAGTTCTATAGGGTCCAGGAGCACAATTAAATGAATCAACAATATGCAAGTTCAGTCATGGATTGACTTATCACCTACCATTTGCAAATCTGCACTGTTTCAGCACCTCGCTGAAACCCTCACAAAGCTTAAGGTCACCCTGGTTCTGGGCACACTCCAAAAACTGTTTCATCTCATAGTGGCATGGGCCAAACTGCTGCTGCTGCTGGTATGCCGGCTGGGTTCCCTGTGGCTCCTGCAAAGACATAACATTCAGGACTGTTTAGAAAGGAAATGAGATTTATAACTGAACAAAGTAGTATCCATTGTCTTTGAGGTTAACTGGGGAACTAAACTCAGATGCAAATTAAAGTTTCCATCCAATAATATGGAAAGTGAAATTTTTTCAAAGTAGAAAATAAGCTTTAAAAAAATTCCAGTTGTAATCAGAAAGATTGAAGAACAAAGATGTAAATTAAGTGAAATGGTTATCTGGGCATTTATAGACCAGTAGTTAAGTGAAATTTCATGGAAGATAAAACGGGATTATTATAGAAAAATACATGGATGAGAGTTTCAAGTACACCAGAAATACAACAGAATACACACCCACACTCATTAAAGGAGAAAATTCACATACCTCAGAAAGAGGGGGCGTGGCAAATGTCAGGTAAGAGACCAGAGAGCAAAGAGCTATTAAAGAGATTTTTTGAATATTTAACTTAGGTTGAGACTGAATTAGTTAAGGGTAATCAAGACAAAATATTTTAAATAAGGGGGAAATGACTGTTTTATAGTGAATCAGGTTGAGCTACTATAATTCTACAACTTGAGAAGATAATTTGTATAGTACTTGCTGACGCATGTCTAAAGCACTAAATTGTTAAATGTGACTTTTGATAATAAAAACATTTTCTGTCAACATTGTGGATTCTAAGATTATAGACAGTTCTTACTTATATAAGGAACTTACAAATATTAGGCTTTCTCATAAAATACACCACTGAAGGAAAACCCTGCCCAAAATCTTACCTGGTAAGTGATGTCAGGCCTTGAGGGCTCAGTGTTACTTCCACCGAAGCCCCCAGTGATGGCATGACCTAGCGTGTGGCCAACAGCAGAGCCCACAGCTACACCAGCTGCAGTAGTTGCCATCTGGGCCATCAGACCTGGCTGCCGGGGTGCAGCAGCAGGTGAGCCAACAGCAGATGGTGGAGCTGCTGCTGGCAGCTGGGCTGCTGGCGCTGGTCTGGGCGCAGCTCTCATCTGAGGTGCCCGGCTGTAAAAGAAAAGAACAAAGAATATGAAGTTCCACTTCCAATCAGATTTGGAAATTGTCAACTTAAAAAAACCCTGTATGTTAAAATAATATACAGGATTTTCATTTTAAATCATTAAACACAAATACTATATACGTACAAGAAAACTTTACAAAACACAATTCCCTGAGCTATTTTATTACATCATTTTATCTCTTTAACCTTTTGTTAAGGTTGTAATCACCAAGTATAAACTATTTTCTTGCTTTTTAAGAAATCATTTCCATGTATTCACATAGCCCACAGTATCTTTAAAGAACAGTTATTCTAGTACTTTGCGAAAACTGTAAAATAGTAAGTTTAAAATATCCTTACAGAATTCATCACATGGTATTAAGGGTGAAGGAAAAAATATTGAGAAAGAGAGAGCATGTTGTGGAATGTCACAATTTTAAGATAGTCAAGGGAAGTCTCCCTGAGTTGGTAACATCTTAATGAAGAAGATCTGCAGACAGTCATCTAGGGAAATAATCTAGTTCAATTCCTTCATTTTACAGATTAGAACACTGAAGCCCAGTAAGTAGAAGTAACTTGCTCGAACTGTTATATCAAAATTAATTTCAAATATTTCCTATCTGTAGGAAATTTGGATGCTTTCAACAATTTCACTAATATGTCCTGTGCTGCTTTAAAAATCATCACATATATTATGCTCCCTCTGCCCATTTTTTAGATTGTTTCCTTGGGTGTTCTTCTCCCAAATAAAGCCAGGTCAAGAGTTTATGATTTCACTTCCTATCAAATGGCATCTAGCATAACTTTATAAAATATGGTTTCATATCCTTTGAGTATAAGTTTCTTTCGATAAGTGAACCTGAACACAATCCACCCAGAGAAGCCATGTGGTCCGTGCTAAATGCCCTCAATTGGTGGTCTTCAGAAAACTAGGGTCTGAGACCTGGCTTTCCTACTTAGTGGAGGCATGACCTTGGAAAAGTCACTTATCCTGAGTCTCCAGTTTCCTTATTTCTGTAAATTAGGAATAACATTAATCTTTAGGGTTACCATGAAATGTAATTGGCACATAAAAAGTATTTTATGAACGAGAAAACGTCATGTACACGTGAAGGCCTTAGTGACTGTGTCCAATACTAGGCCGAGCCCATGGAAGGCTCATTGCTCATGACAGGTGCTCACATTATTCACTGAATTGAAATTCGGTCATTTCCCCAATTACCTTTCTTCTACATTTTTTTTCTTTGCTACTTTTGATATTTCAACCAATTTACACTTACAAATGTCCATTTCTTTTTATGACTTGCCTGTTTTAAATTAAAACGAGCTATGAGGTATTTTAAGCAATAATTTATGGGCATTCGAAATTAGAAAGTTTGCCACTAAAAGAACCTAACCAAAGCCCATTTACAACCATCTTGCGACAGGCGGAGACGGGTACACGCCGTATCCGCCTTCGAACGGCCTAGTCCACGGTCTCCGCCGGCCGCGACCTAGCACTGCCTTCTCTGCGTAACGGCGCCGGCAGGGCCCCAAACCTTGCAGTGGCCTCACCTGGACGGCGGGGCCATGCGGGAGGTGCGGCTTCGGCTACCACGCGGCATCGCAACTGCACAGCGGGTGGGCGTCTACAACAGTTAGACTCCAAGAAGACCCCGGCGGCTTCTGCTGAGGTAGAGAGAGGAAGACGGGAGGCGGGTCCGGCCTCAGCGCGCGACCAATCAGCACACAGGCAAGGGCCTTCCGTGTGCCAACGTCTCCTCGGGCCCTGAAGGTCACTGAAATAGCAAGGCGTCATGGCGGCGTCTCGTTGTGCGCAGTTGCCGTCAGGAGCTAGGCGCTCCTGCTGTTTAGAAAACCGGAAGTGCCTGTGATTGTCAGGCAAACCTTGTCGTCTGAGCAAGCATGAGTCAGAAACGCTAGCAGTTTGCTTCCTTCAAAGATTTCTAATAACATGGTAGGTCAAATTACACCTTTGTTGTAGCCGCCATCCCCCGATAGAAACACGGACCACCAGAAATCAGTGAGTTACAGGAAACACACTCTTTATTCAGCCAGCTGAGTCTGCTAGGGGTATGCAAACCCCAAATTAAGTAGCCCCGAAATGTAGAGGTATAGGGTTTTTAAGCCCTAAACCCCATTCTTCATCCTGTTTGAACACACAAGTCTATTTTTCTTCTTTTTACTAACTGTCAACCTATAGGTCGGTTGGGCAAGCGGTGGGTACAGAAGCAGAAAGCTTATTGTTAGAGCATTATATTCCCATGGGCAATAGCCAAACAGTAATTTTCCAGCCAGCACACCTTGATATTCAAATCTCTGACATGACTACCACTGGACTTTGGTCGAGTTACTTAACCTTGCTCAGCATTAAGTTACTTATTTGGAAAAATATTTTTTGAGGCAGTGTGGGCGCTTAACATGAACTGATGGAAATTGAGAACTTGAGACAGGAATTAAAAGAACTAAGTTGGTTCTGTGTTTCTCTAGTCTGACTCCAGTCCATAAGTTACATTCAGACAGTAATAGTGCCTTACATTTAGTTATTGTACACATTCATCCCCCATTTCAAGTATATTACTGAATTTGCGCCTATAATTGGGGACAGTATTCATTCACTGACACTTAAAAATGTTGTGAATGATCTAGCTAGATTCCAGAGATACAGCACCAAATAAGACTATACCTTCCTGTAGTTTAAATTCAGGGGAGACACAACACGCATATTTAAGGCAAGCGCTGGCGAAATGAAGCAACAGCAGAGTAAAAGAGATACCAGTTAGGTTACAGAGTACGACACTCTGAACAGGCAGCGTACAACACGTTGAGGGGAAGCAAGCCATGTGTTTATCAATGGTTAAGAGGCAGTTCTAGGCAGAAGGAACATCAATTGCTAAGGTCCCCCATCTGTGCTCTAGCAATAGATATGAAATGCATTTATTTCTTCAAAATTTTTCTAAATTTTCTATCTTTTTGTAAAATTTATTTTTATGGTGATATTGGTTAATGAACTCCAGTAACTTTTAGCTATACCCTTAGTAAGGTATATATATATATATTTACACGGTGTTCACCTCCCATAGTTAGATTTCTTTTTATCACCATATATTTGACCCCCTTTACCCCATCTACCTCCCCTTTACTCCCCCCTTTACTTCCTTACCCTCTGGTAACCACTAGTCTATTGTCCATGTCCATGAGTCTCTGTTTGTTCTGTTCATTCGTTGCTTTCAGGTTTATATCCCACATACACATGATATCATGTGATTTTCAACTTTTCCTGTCTGGCTTATTTTGCTTAGCATGATTATCTCGAGGTCCATCCATGTTGTCACAAATGGCAACATGGTTTTTGAGTTTTATTTCCCTAATAGCTAGCGATGTTGAGCATCTTTTCATATGTTTGTTGGCCATTTGTATCTCCTCTAGGGAGAAGTGTCAGTTCAAGTCCTCTGCACATTTTTTGATTGGATCATTTGTTTCTTTGTTTTATTGAGTCATGTGAGTTCTTTGTATATTTTTGATATATATCGGATGCGTTGCTTGCAAATATATTTTCCCATTCAGATGGTTATCTCTTTACCTTGTTGACACTTTCTTTTGCTGAGCAGAAGCTTTTTAGTTTGATGTAGTCTCATTCGTTTAATTTTGCTTTTACTTTCCTTGCCGTTGAGGTCAAATTCATAAAATCCTCTTTAAGTCCAAGGTCCATGAGTATAGTTCCTATGTTTTCTTCTATGCATTATATTGTTTCAGGTCTTATATTCAGGTCCTTAATCCATTTTGAGTTAATTTTGGTGTGTGGTGATAGACAACAGTCTACTTTCAGTATTTTTGCAGATGGCTTTCCAGTTTTCACAGCACCATTTATTGAAGAGACTTTCCTTTCTCCACTGTATGTTTTTTTTGTCAAAAATTATATGCCCCTATAAATATGGGTTTACTTCTAAACTCTCGATTCTGTTCCACTGGTCCGTATGTCTGTTTTGCATGCTGATTTGATTACTGTTGCTTTATAGTATAATTTGAAGTCAGGCAGAGTGATGCCTCCAGCCTTGTTCTTTTTTCTCAGGATAGCTTTGGCAATTTGGGGTCTTTTGTGCTTCCATACAAATCTGATGGTTTTTTGTTCTATTTCTTTAAAAATTGCCAATAGATTTTGATGAGGATTGCATTAAATCTGTATAATGCTTTAGGTAATATGGTCATTTTAACTATGTTGATTCTTCCAATTCAAGAACACAGAATATCTTTCCATTTCATTGTAACTTCTTTGATTTATTTTAATAGGGTCCTGTACTTTTTATGATATAGGTTCCTTACATGTTTCATTAGATTTATTCATAGGTATTTTATTCCTTCTGTTGCAATTGCAAAAGGAATTATTTTTTCCACTTCTTTTTCTGACACTTCATTATTAGAGTATAGGAATGCTATGGATTTTTGAACGTTGATTTTGTAGACAGAAACTTTACTGTATTTGCTTATCGTTTCTAGTAGTGTTCTTGTGGAGTCTTTAGGGTTTTCTATATAGAGAATCATGTCATCTGGAAATAGTGACAGTTAGACTTCATTTCCTATTTGGATGCCTTTTATAACTTTCTTTTGCCTGATTGCACCCACTAGGACCTCCAATGTTATATTGAATAACAGTGGCGATAGTGGCCTTGCCTTGTTCCTGATCTTAGAGGGAAGGTTTTTAGTTTTCAGTTTTTAGTTTTTCACCATTAAGTACAATGTTGGATGAGGGTTTGTCATAGATGACTTTTATTATCACAGTGATTGATTTGTGTATATTGAACCATCCCTGTGCCTCTGGGATGAAGCCCACTTGATCATGGTGTATCATCTTTTTAATATGTTGCTATATTCGGTTCGCTAGTATCTTATTTAGGATTTTCGCATCTGTGATCATGAGAGATACTGGTCTGTAGTTTTTGTGTGTGTGTTATCTTTACCAGGTTTTGGTATCCGAGTAACATTGGCTTCATTAAATGAGTTGGGAAGTATTGCCTTCTCTTCAACTTTTTTTGGAAGAGTTTGAGGAGAATAGGTATTAAATCTTCTTTGACTGTTTGGTAGAATTGACTGGTGAAGCCATCTGGTCCTGGACTTTTACTTTTTGGTAGGTTTTTGATGATTGTTTCAATTTCCATACTGCTGATCAGTCTATTTAGATTTTCCAGTTCTTCTTGACTCAGTCTAGGAAGACTGAATTTTTCTAAGTACTGGTCCATTTCTTCTAGGTTATTAAATTTGGTGTTATATACTTTTTCATATTCTTGTGTATGATCCTTTGTATTTCTGTGATGTCTGTCATAATTTGCCCTCTTCCATCCCTGATTTTATTTGTGTCCTTTCTCTTTTTTCTTTAGTGAGTCTATCCAGGAGTTTGTCGATTTTATTAAACTTCTCAAAGAACCAGCTCTTTGTTGCAGTTACTTTTTCTATTTTTTTTCAATTTCATCTATTTCTGCTCTGATTTTGATTCTTTCTTTCCTTCCGCTGACTGTAGGCTTCATTTGTTCTTCCTTTTCTAGTTTTTTAAGATGAAGATTTAGGTTGGGCTCATTCTTGTTTTTGGAGGTAGGCCTATATTGATATGAACTTTCCTCTTATGATCACTTTTGCCATGTCCCAAAAGTTTTGATATGTTGTACTGTCATTATCATTCGTTTCTATGTATCACTTGATCTCTCTTTTTTATTTCTTCTCTGACCCAGTTATTCTTCAGTAACATGTTGTTTAATCTCCATGTATTTGTGGTTCTTCTTGATTTCTTTCTGCAGTTGATCTCTAGTTTCAAAGCATTATGATCAAAGAATATGGTTGGCATGATTTCCACCCTCTTATATTTGTTGAGGATATCTCTGTGTCCCAGTATGTGGACGATTCTTGAGAATGTTCCATGCGCACTAGAGAAGAATGGATAAGCGGCTGTTTGGGGATGGAAGGCTCTGA